AAATATCTTGTAACAGCGACACTTGCAGAGATTAGTTGTATATTCTATATCATTAAGTATCTTGTAACAGCGACACTTGCAGAGTTGTGTATTCTATATCGTGAAGTATCTTGTAACATCGACACTTGCTAAGATTAGTTGTGTATTCTATGTCGTGAAGTATCTTGTAACACCTACACTTGCAAAGATTACTTGTCTATTCTATATCGTGAAATATCTTGTAACAGCGACACTTGCAGAGATTAGTTGTATATTCTATATCATTAAGTATCTTGTAACAGCGACACTTGCAGAGTTGTGTATTCTATATCGTGAAGTATCTTGTAACATCGACACTTGCTGAGATTAGTTGTGTATTCTATGTCGTGAAGTATCTTGTAACACCTACACTTGCAAAGATTACTTGTCTATTCTATATCGTGAAATATCTTGTAACAGCGACACTTGCAGAGATTAGTTGTATATTCTATATCATTAAGTATCTTGTAACAGCGACACTTGCAGAGTTGTGTATTCTATATCGTGAAGTATCTTGTAACATCGACACTTGCTAAGATTAGTTGTGTATTCTATGTCGTGAAGTATCTTGTAACAGCGACACTTGCAAAGATTACTTGTGTATTCTATGTTGTGAAGCATCTTGTAAAATCGACACTTGCAAAGATTAGTTGTGTATTCTATGTCGTGAAGCATCTTGTAACAGTGACACTTGCAAAGATTACTTGTGTATTCTATGTCGTGAAATATCTTGTAACAGCAACACTTGCAGAGATTAGTTGTATATTCTATATCATTAAGTATCATGTAACAGCAACACTTGCAGAGTTGTGTATTCTATATCGTGAAGTATCTTGTAACATCGACACTTGCCAAGATTGGTTGTGTATTCTATGTCGTGAAGTATCTTGTAACAGCAACACTTGCAAAGATTAGTTGTGTATTCTATGTCGTGAAGTATCTTGTAACAGCAACACTTGCAGAGATTAGTTGTATATTCTATGTCGTGAAGTATTTAATTTCAATATTTATGTTAATAAATCAACTTAGGTTTAAAATGTAAAGTTTTTAGCTAGTCAGACATGGAGAAGAACAGTCAGTTAATGGGAATCCCACAGCTTCTTTTTCTGTCGGATACTTCACCTCTTAGTTTCATGCTGAGAACATAAATCACGTTTAAACAGATCGTGCAACATCTCCAAAATACAGTCACGAATCAATTTGAGGGAATCAGTATTTTATTTTGATATCTTCATTTTACATAGTGTTGCAGTGTAGTAAATTGTATAGCACAGCAATGATAAAAATTGGAATGATAGTGGCTTGAATATCACACCTCAGCCAAATAACATTATTATTTTAATAGTATAACCAATTTATACGTGCTAATGTGAATAACTTATCATCTACAGTTTTTTTTTATTACCACCAGCTGACACAGAACTAACATAAGATCCAAGATCATAGCATTGATAACAGCATAACCAGATTACAAGCTGACAGATGATAAGAGAAAATCTACAACGTGAATCAAATATCACTAGATTTCCTACACGAGAAACTGGCGGTAATACTGCCAGCATATAAATGTGGTCGAAGATGGGCCCTGTTACACTCCCTCAGTCTGCTGGGCTCCCTTCAGAATTAAAGAGTATACAAAAAGAAAGAAGCAGAAGAGGATGCCCTGCACCCTGGAAAAGCCATTATTCTCTCAATATTGCTCCTCTGCTAATGTGTGCTGTACCTTTGAGAAGTCGAAATCCTCCCCGGTACCTCTGTAGAAGATATCCAAGACATCCAAGCAAGTGGTCTCGAAGTGGGTTGTTGCATCATAGGACTCCGAAATAAATATCTAAGAAAAAACATAGAAAATTATTTTATAACAATAAAACCATGTTTTTAAATGAAAGTTCACAGACTATCGTACACTGCTTTGTTCACAACAACAGTTTTTACATCCTTATCAAATTTGTTGTTGATTTTACACGGTACTACAAGAAGTCTTCCCATTCTTTAAATATCATAAAAGAAACAAAAACGGAAGCTAAAAATGGTCAACACATACCACCAAAGTATGTCAGGGAACACAAAAAAAAAAAGAAAGAAAATTGAAGAGACTAACATTTTGATCTCAAAATAAACTCTACATTCAAAATAATAAACTTCAGTTACTTTTTTTCAAATGCATACAATGAAACAAGTTTTAATTTACTATGCATGCCTTTACTATATTTAGCTAGTTGTACTACAGACTATTCATTACGCAGTAACTGTGACAGATGTTTAAACAAAATGATTCATAGAAACTACAACAAAAAAAGAGTTTTATTTCACTAAAAGTTTCACTAGTTATCTTTAAGATTCTTAATTGCACCACCATTCTTTTAAAAAAAGTAGAAAGAGAAAATAGTTTTTATTAAGTTCAACATCTGATTCCCTCCTAACAAGACTGACTAAGATCCATTTTTAAAATTATCGAAAATTTGCCTATCCATTCTTGTTTGGATTATGTTTAACTGAAAAATCCCAATTAATATTTTTTTATTGCTAGCTATCGATATATTTTCGTACAAACCTGACTTTCTCGTCCGTCATCCTTTGGTTTATAAACATCACTCACTCTCACAAACCTAAACAAACAAGAAGGTTTTACATTCCAATCTTACATCACCTAAATAATTTATCAATACAGTAAAAAGAAATTCACTTGAGTCTGAGAAATAGTCACAGACAACCAACTACAAAACTACATATTATTACACGCACTTTGAAAACACTTTTACGTTAGATGATTGTGTGAGCTTCTCAATATGTACTGTTTTAACAGAACTGGAAGTTACCGTTCAACAACAACATTGTTGTACTGTTTTAACAGAACTGGAAGTTACCGTTCAACAACAACATTGTTGTACTGTTTTAACAGAACTGGAAGTTACCGTTCAACAACAACATTGTTGTACTGTTTTAACAGAACTGGAAGTTACCGTTCAACAACAACATTGTTGTACTGTTTTAACAGAACTGGAAGTTACCGTACAACAACAACATTGTTGTACTGTTTTAACAGAACTGGAAGTTACCGTACAACAACAATGTTGTAGTGTTTTAACAGAACTGTTTCACTAACAAACAAACTGCAAGTGATAATGCAAATCATTTTACTGTTATTTATGGTATATGTTTTACTGGAACATTTCTGAAGGTGTAAAACAAAAATGCCGAGGGTCCAATTAAAGAAAGGTAACAAACATGATGTTATAATGTTATTAAAATGTTTTATACACAAATATTCACTACAGAAATTAAGAGATTTTGTTGTGAGATAGTTTCAGTCATAATGAATGATACTTAATTGTTTGAACACTTATAAAATTAGACTTACTTCTGTTCGATTGGTCCAAGAAGATCGAGTCCTGGTTTGATTTCGTCCTCGGGGTTAGCTGTCTCTACTGTCGTACTCACCATAGCGATAAACCAGTTCTTTGCTGCCACTTGATGTGTGTACGAAACCATCGATACGTATATGTCTTTAAAAAAAAAACCTCAAAGAAATGAAATTGTCTACAAAATTTAAACTTTCAACTCAAATCCCATAGTTTATTATTGAATACGTGTCTACACAAGTCACTCTAGCGATCTTTATTTCCACATTTATGTCTTTACCTGCAATATGGTTTGTTAAATATTTAGTACACAAGTGTCTACACAAGTCACTCTAGCGATCTTTATTTCCACATTTATGTCTTTACCTGCAATATGGT